GCAGTGGCCTGGCCTGGGGGGTGGTGGCAGCTCCAAGCTGTTCTCTCTGCGATGGCTTCCAGGTTCTACCCCCGGATAGTTCTGTAGGTGGCACCGGCGCCCCCCGTGTGTCCGCTCAGACCGTGGCGCCGGGCTGGGACGCAGGAGCCCGTCCCTACTCTCCAGAAGCTGCGGGCACATCGGGGAGATCTGTGCAGGACGGGCTGTGATACAGAGCCGGGTGAGGGCTCTGCACAGGCTCCATATGGCGCGTGTGAGCGCAGGGAACCCCTCTTCCTGAGGGATCCCCCAGCTGGGGCCGCTTCTCGAACATTGGGAATGAGAACGGACAACCTGCCTGTAACGGTTTTTACAGAGAAAAGCGGACGGGGGACCAGGAGCAAAGGGAGCACATAAGGCAGGCAAGGGGGTAGGGAGAAAGCGAGACAGTGGGGCAGCTGGGCTGCTGGCCCGCCCCATCCCCATCAGTGCTTGCCCTCGAGCGGACGAGGGGGCTGGCGGCCACAGGAGCGCTGGGCCTCGGCGGCAAGAGCGTCCTTGGCAGGAGTAGAGCCCAGCAGACAGCCAGCTGGTGTAGATCCTAGAGCTGCAGAACTCGGAGCCTGACTTAGTGAGTAATTTGTACAGTCCCGTGGGTTAAGGTTTTCTATTAAGCTATCTCTGCTGCTAATAATTTAGCTGGAAGATATGTTAGATACGGAATTGGGGAAACCCATCTCAGGGGATAATGACATTGTGAAGCCATATTATGTCTACCGTGGGGAACAATTTTAAGCCTGTGCTAATAGTTGAAGCTACGAGAGATGATTCTGAATGGAGGAAATGGTTGAGGGCTCTGCGGGCAGCTGTAAGGCCTTTGGGTTGTGGAAAGTAATCACGTAACCCGATTGATCGGTGACACGGAATCCCATTAGTCGCTGTCACACCACACCAGCCGAGGAGGGTCTCTGACCGGGGGGATCACCCAGACCGAGGTCCAGCTCTTGCTGCCTTCCAGCTATTTGACCCCTGGTGAGTCACTGGGCTACTTAAGATTTCATTCAGAAAGGCCCCAGCACGAGGCACTGTGCGTCCAGGGCCGGCCAGCCGGACGCCGGGCCCCATGGGACGCGGAAGGTCCACGGTTTGCACGAACATGAAACGTGGGGCGTGGAGGGCGGAGAGGGGCTCCCTCCGCTGTGTTCCGTTCCCGGATCAGCTGTAGGTCAACGACAGCTGGGCTGGCGGGGCCCCTGGCTCACAAAGGCTCCTGAAAACATTAACACTGCCCTGCAGCAGGCCCAGGCAGGCTTCGGGAACCGTGGCCGTCGTGAGTTAGGTTTCGGGACTCGGTAAGGTGACGGAGCAGCGGCACGTGGACCCTCTTACGCCTGTGCCCCCCCCCCCCCCCCCCCCCCCCGGAAGGACGCTCTTTGCAGGACTCCTGCAAAAGTCACATTTACCTTCGTCGCCATCTCTCTCCCTGGTGAATTAAGCCCGAAAGCCCGCGTTGGGAAGGTGTACTGTGTGCTCTCACCATTAGCAGTGGATGGAGTGAATGGTGATTATGTCGCACAAAACCCTGGAGCTGAAAACTGAAGAAACAAAACAGAAACAAAAAGGAAAAAGGGTTGTCTTTGGACAGACTTCATCCTTCGAGAAGGCGATACAAACAAATGCACGTATACATGTAAAGGGACAGTGAGACAAGTGTAACACTCAGGGAGTCTTGACCTCTCATGTTAGGCAAGTTCTGATTGGTGGGGTTTCATAGATGGGGTGATGCTGGCCCTTCTTGGAAAACCGTTCGTGCCTTCCTTTGTAAAACGAAGTCTTAGTCCCTCCGCTGAGGGAAGCCCTTCCGGACCCGGCCGTGAACCTCGCTGCCGCTCCTTCCCAGTGCCCTCTCCGTCCTGTGACTTCGGCACGTTGGACAGATGCCCCCGGAGGGCCTCCCATGAGCAGATGGCCCCGTGGCCTGCAGCTCAGGGTGGGGCCCGGCGCCTCTGGCTCAGCCGGGAGCAGAGCCTCGATGCAGAGAGGGGTCCAGAGCAGAGGCCGAGGACGGGGAGCCTGGAGTGTGCGAGAGGGCTCAGAACAGAGCCCAGGTGAGGCTGTGGAAGCAGCAAAGAGGGTGTCCCAGTGAGTAAAGCTGAGGTCGGCTCAGCAATGTGAGATGGCGCAGAGCCTTCTGGAAAGGTGAAGACAGAACTCTGCCTGGTGGGTGTGCTGGTTGGGAGATGCTCACTAGCCCCTCTCTGTCTGCGAAGCCTTTTGCCGCCACCGCGGACAGCACCACCCTCCACGACGCAGCCCCCGGGCCCCCACGCGACAGTAATAAGCACTTGGTTTACCGTTATTCCAAGCACGGCGGCCTCACTTGGTCTCTGCCTGTCTTCCTCCCCACGTCTGTGGGCAGAGGCCGTGTCTGGGTCATCTCGGGACCTCCCCCTCCTCCTGGGCTGGCTCCGGAGAACCCCACTATCATGGACACGGGAGGCTGCGGCCTACGCAGGGGCAGGGTTCCCCGTGTCCACGGCCCTGGTTGCGGCCCTCGTCAGTACGGGGCCGTCGTGGTGTCTGCGTCGTTCACAGGGACAGGCGTTTTTAGCCAGTGGAAACTCGCTGTTGTGACTGCCTCGCGTCTCCCGTGCCCAGGAGTGTGTGTGTCTCAGAGCTCGTGTGCTGGTTGATCTCAACATTTTTATCGCATCATCCGTTTACCTGAGGTGCAGCAGGCTTACTTGGCACATGGAAGGACCCAGGCCCTCAGCACGGATCACCTCGCCCCTGCACCTCTTCCTTTGTGTAGAATTTCCTGACAGTTAAGGGGGAAAAAAGCATTTGTTGTTCCCCTCCTTTCCCCAGCCTTCTGCCAGGCACTCTCTTTCAGTGTGAAATAAATCAATATTTGCTTCTAAAGTCTGGGTGCACAGTACATTTTCCCATTTAAATGAAATGGAAGCAAACACTAAAAGAAAAAAAAAAGAAAAGGTCGTGATTCACTCTAGAAAAACAAATCAGGCTAAATGTGTTAAGAGTTTCCACTCAGGATAGGTCTCTGCTTCTGGTGAATTCTTCCAGTCCGCATTAGCAGTTCCTCCTGATCGTAGCTTCGTGTGGTGCCCTCCCCAGAAAGGCCTTCCCGTTCCTCTAAGTGCAACATAATCCCCCTGTTGACACAGCCCTACCTGCTCACAGGGTACAGTACTGTCACAGGGCCGGAGGGGGACCCCTGGAAGCCACTTGGGTCAGTCCCAGGGGAGCATGGAGTCGTGGTTGTTGCAGACGGACGGGCAGGGAGAAGGTGGCTTCTCTAGACACCAGCTGGGAGAGGAGTCAGGTGCCATGACTGGGAGCTCCCGGAGGCCACCTGAGTGCACCCGCCTTTCCCGTCAGTCCCTGGAGTCACTGCTCCTTCTACCCGCCCTGCCTGGCATCCCTCCCCGCTTCTCCTCCAGAGATGTTCCCTGGCCACCGGCCCCTCCCACCCCCCAGGCTCTGCCGGCCCCTCGGCCCCTGCGTCTGCCCCGCTGGGCTGTGGTTTTCCACCGCGCCTGTCACGGCCTCTGGTACCTGGTGGGGCATCACTCAGCAAATACGTACTCGTGTGTGCCAATCATCCAGCTTGGCCCTGGGGGAGAGCTGTGCCTGGACTCCGCAGCCCCTGCCCGCACGGAGCACGGCGTGGTCTGGTGGGGTGTGAGAAGAGGACAGAGGTTTGGAGGAGGGGAGGAAGTCACAAGTGACGGACAGGCCGCAGTACCTTTCAGGCAGCGGGTGTTTACGAAAGTCATGTCCGACGAATACTGCGGGTGCCGGAAGGGCCGTGGTGTGGTTAAACACCCACTTCGCGTGTAGAATGTCCTTTATCTTTCCGCCAGCCCCCTGAAGTGGGCATTAGTCCCCCGTTCACAGATGAGAAAACTAAGGGTTGTAGGGTAGGTGTGTGGCCTCACAGCTAATCGTGGCGAGCAGCCGTTCGAGCCCTGCTGAGCGCAGGACAAAGGGCCATGTTGACCAAGGGACTGCTTTGGCCTTGCCGTTCAGCCCCAGCCCCTGCCCTGGAAAGGATGCTCCTGTCTCACGTCCCTGCACACATCTGAGGACTCTGATTCCCTTAGAGAGCAACCCCATACCCTCCTTCTCTTCCAACTCTTCCGTTATTTTTGCGGCCTCAGGCTCCCAGCTCCTCCTAAACCTTCCCCGTGTTCTTTCGATGACTTTTCTTCCCGAGATCAAAGACGGTTGTTATTTAAAGCAGGCCAGAGCCCGCAGGGTCAGGGACGCTGGGCATCAGCACTACCGGAATTGGCTCTGTCTGGAACCCGGCTGCTTGGAGCTCCAGACAGTGGCCTGGCTGTACAATTCAGGTGCCCTCCACTGACAGATGTCCCCACAGATTCTCCTGCCCAGCCCCGGGGGGCGGGGGCTACCTCCACCAGCCACCTCCCCCGGATAGCTAAGGCATTGGTGTTGTTGGTGGGCTGCATCTGGGGGGAATCAGTCTTGCAGGAACATCTCCTTTTTCCCAGTGCGAGACTGATCTGCAGTACAGGGGCTGGGCTCCCACAGTGTGTGGAAAGCCAGAAAACCCGGGATAAACTTAGGCCCCTTTCTCAGCTCCAAATGGACCAGCTTTGAATTTCCAGAAGCCGCCCACCCAACCCTCGACACGGTTGCAGTACATAATCTGTGCGCTGCCCTCCAACCCGCACACCCTTGGCCACCCCCGCGCCCCTGGGAGGCAGCTTGGCGTCAAGAGAAGAGCCTGGACTTTGGGTGTCAGCTCGGGCTCCGCCACCTGCCGCTGCTGGGGCCTCTGGCCGTGTCGCTCTGCGGCGTGGAGCCTCCCTCTCTTCGTCCATAAAGCAGGGACGGGAGCAAGCGCAGGGCCCTGTGTGCGGTGGGGACGAGCTCCCGGAACCTACCAGACGCTCCGTCAGCAGTAGTTGTGATTCTGTTGTCGTGGCTCGACCCAGAAGCAGGACCCGTGTGACCTTTCTCTTGCCCTCACACAGGTCACGGACGAGGAGCCCAGCTCCAACCACACGGTCATGATCCAGGAGACCCTCCAGCAGGCCTCCGTGGAGCTGGCTGAGGAGCACCACCTCGTGGTGTCCTCTGACGACGTGGAGGGCATCGAGACGGTGACCGTCTACACTCAGGGCGGGGAGGCTTCGGAGTTCATCGTCTACGTGCAGGAGGCCGTGCAGCCCGTGGAGGAGCAGGCGGTGGGGCCGCAGGCCCAGGAGCTCTAGGGGACGGCGGCGGCTGGACGCCACGGGGCAGGCCCACCAGGCTCTCCGCGGGACAGCACCCTTGGTGGCTCTCTCCTCCTCGGTCCCCGCCCAGGCGGCCAGATGGGGCTCCCCTCGTCCCCCTTTGGGGGGGCAAGGCGACCGGCATCACCAGCAATACAGGACTCCCCGTTCCCAGCACAAACACACACACCCCTTCCTCTGCATCCTCTGCTTCCGGAAAGACTAGGCATCGACTTCCCACACAGCCCACGCCGCGTCGCCCCTTTGCTTCGGGATTCATGCAGGGACCCGGTGCCCGTCAGTGTCTGCCCTGAATCACACCCCCAACTCCCTGACCCCGTGCAGGTGTCCAGCCTTCCTCTGGGACCGCTCTGTGGCCTGAATGATGGGAGGGAGCCAGCCGGCACGGAGAAAGTGACCTTCTGGTTTGGAATCCCCTCCCGGGGAAAAGAGGGGAGGGGATCCTGGCTTTATCCACAAGGTCCTACTCCCCCACGTCCCCAAGTGTCGAGGGCACTTGTTACCGCTTGCGGAAACCACAGTTGAGGACCTCTTGTTCCCGCAACAGGCGGGATCTTAGCTTACGTCTTAGAATCCTGCTTTTTAAAAAAAAAAAATGCACTTTTTACTATTCACCTCCCGTTCTATGAGATGTGGTGGGTAGAATAAAAACATTCTCGGCCTGAGCACTCCAGTGTCTCCATTAGCGTGGATGGTCTGTGTCTCCCCCTCTTGTGAATCAGAGTCTTAGGTTTGGGCCCCACCCGGAACCACCCCATCCGAGGTCCAGAGCCCTCAGCTCATAGATGAGGGTGCCCCCCCTCCCTCTAAAACATTTTTACGTTTGCTTTGGGGCCACGGCTGGAGGTGAATGGTCTTGCCTTTTATTTCCCGGGGACTGGCCCTTGGTTTGCTGCCTCTGAGACGCTGCCCGCCCCTCCTCTCCACCTTATGCTCAGGAGGGGCGACCAACGGACCGAAGGCGTCATGGCACGCTGCTCTTGGAGATGCAGGCCGGGAGCCGTGATAAATCCCTTCTTGAGCCTCTGCCCTGTGCACAGCATGGTAGGGGTATCGGGGTGAGTCCTCCGGCAGCCTGCCCTGTCCTGGGTCTCTCGACGTCATCACCCACCCTCCAGTTCACGGAGGCCAACATGTGTTTCCTCCGAGAACCCTTCAAATGAAGTCTTCGGCGTATATAAACGGATGCACCGACACAAAGCGGTAGTTGCTCTGGTTGAAGACAGCGGAGTTCACCGCCCCTCGCACTTGGCCCTCCGTGTTAGGGCCCAGTCATCCCACCCCGGCAAGCCCCGAAGGCGCCTCTTGAGGGAGGTGTAAAGCTGCTGCTCTAAGACCGGGACGCAGGTGGCCTCTTGCCCTCAGCAAGGAAGGGAGTTCAGGGAAGGAAGGACACTCCCCGGTCGGGATGAGTCGGGGAAAGTTCCCGATGGAGGCGGCCTGTGATCAGAGCCTTGCAAGCTAGATAGAGGGAAGGATAACGGTAGAAAAGTAGCACTGAGTCATGCCCAGGATGGGACAGCATGGGGGAGGGCCAGTGACCCTTGGGCAGTCCATCTGGCTGATGGGTGGCTCTAAGGAGAAAAGCAGAAAGATCAACCAGAAGCCAGAACCAGGGATGATGAGACAGGACGGATATTGATTTTATTCAGTGAACCATGGGGACATGGCAGCTGTGGGTAGCCCCAGGGTGTGGAGGGCAGAGCGGTACTCCAGAATGGGTGATGTCCGGACATCAGGGTGGGCTGTGTTGAGATGCTGGAGCATCCAGATTGGAGGCAGAGTTCCCGGGCTCAAGCCCAGCTCCATCCCTTCCTACTTGAGTGACCTTGACACGTTTCTGTGCCTGGCTGAGTTTTAGTTCACTCCTCTGTGAAATGGGTCTCAGGATAATTGCTAACTGCTAAGATTGCTGAGAGGATTGAGTGGGCAAAGCCCTGGGAGACACTCACAGAGTAGCTGGCCCATACTCTGCACGTATCGGTTACGATTTGTATCGCTAGGCACGGGGGACCAGACCTCAGCGCCCCCCAGACTCTACCGTCTAGTGGGAGAGATGGGACGTGAACACACAACAGGAAAAGACTCACTGAATGTGCTCAGTGCTCCGAGTGAGGCCACAGGGGGGGGCCTGCCCTTCCTTGGACCAGAACTGACAGGGACATGGGATGCTGAGGAACAGGTGCCCAGCCATTTAGGGGCACTCAACCTCCCGCACAGCTGTCCACAGAGCTAGAGTCTGGGCGACTTCAGGGCGGGGCCGGTCCTGCATGCTGTCCCCTCGAAAGTTGGATCTGACTCTTTCTGAGATGCACGTCCCGCATGGGCCTTCTTTGCATCATCATGAAAAAATCTTGTTCTAATTTGCAAACTCCCCATGAAGAGATACCTGTCCTGGCTGGTGTTCAGCGTGAGTGCCCTGGGTGCCTGCTGGGTCGTCTGGAGCCCTTGGGCACCGCTAAATACAGATTCGACGGACAAGCGGCTTAGTGTCATGAGGGCCTTGTGCCTGGGCAGGGAGACAGGCTTTGGTTTGAGTCCGATTTCCACAGTGAGGATTTGTTGTGATGTTGGTTAACCTTTAAGAGTATTGTGTCATCACCCGTAAAACGGGATAAATCATTCGCCCCATTTGCCTGGTTTGTTTCAAGGATTTACCGTGATCGCATTGCCGTAATTGCGCGTAGTAGGAACACGGCAAATACTTATTTCCCGTTGTTCACGGTGGGTTCCTAGGAGAATCCCATAGCAGCTGGACAGGGTCGCCTCATGTCCCCGCCTATGAGTGGAGCTGAGGTTCACGTGTAGTCCAGTTGCAGAAGCCTGGTGTCCACTGTCTCCCCTCTCCTGGGCCTGTCACGGTGCCTGGCATGCGTTCAGTCACACACTGAGTCCACACAGGCCAGTCAGCTACCTCCAGTGGCCGGGCACTGGGCTGTGAGCTGGGAACACAGCTCAGCAGTGATGCGCCCCAGGCCTCAAGGACTTAGCCCTGGGTCAGAGGGTGGAAGAGTGAGCAGGTGACAGGAAGCCCAAGCGGAAGCATCTGCAGAAGCAGAGCCCAAAGGGGGGCCGTGGAAGACATGGCTGTCACCTCCACCGAGCCCGGGGCCAGGCAGGGTGGAGGCTCACCCGGGAGATGGGAAGTAATGGAGACCCGGAGCCGGTGTGGACTGGCCCAGCCGAGCCCTGCTCTGTGTCCCACCTGTGCCACGCTGTGGTGCAGCTGGAACTTTGGGAGCCTGTGGCATCTGGCTGGTTGAGATGACTCCAGAGGACGGAGGCAAGGACCCCTGAGTGAGGTTAGGACCTTGCTAGGCCTGGAAGGAAGGGGGTGGGGAGAGAAAAGGATGCATGGGGTGAAGGAAGGGAAGAGTTTTGCTGTTTAGTGCATCCACACCGTATTTTGTACCCACAGACCGTTTCCCTTGGCCACGGTCCTGAAACCATCCAGCCCTTGGCTCTCCCCTTGCAGGGCTGTTCCTGGGGAGGCTTTGCTCATTGCAGATGTTGGGCAGCAGACGGTTTATTTTTGCTTCCCTCCCACCCCCCACCGAATCATGCCAAGGCAGACAGTGGGTGACACCCCACTGTGGCTGCTTGGAGGGGCAGGGCAGGCGGCCGGATCTCTAGAGGCCTTTCCTAGGGACCTAGTGCTGAGCGTGGGGTGCGTCTGAGTGGTATGCCCAAGTGATGGGTTCCTTAGTTCTGATTATTCCCCCTTGGCTGTTTCCTTGGATACTTCTTGACCCACACTGTATTTTGGGCCAAGAGAAGTGACAATTTGTGCTTGGGAGACTGGGCTCCTGCCTTCCTGTTTTACTGTGTGTGACAGGGACCTACTGTGTGCCAGGTACCGCACTAGGCCCTCTGCCCTCCGTCGCTGTATTCGGTCTCTCCATCCACCTGTGTCTTCGTAAGATTGAACTGCCGACGCTTGAGTGCTCGCTCTGTGCCAGCCTTGTGGATGTTACGAATTCTCACAGCAAGGCGAGAATGGTGCTATCGTTAGAGTTTTACTGATGGGGAATATTAGCACAGAGCGGTTAAGAAACTTGCTGAAGGTCACACAGAAGTAGCAGAGCCAGAATTAGAGCCCCAGCAAGATCCGCGCTGATAACCAAAGTACCCTCGGCCAACTCTTCTGTCCCTTTTACAGCTGAGAAAACAGAGGCTCAGTAAGGAACCCACCTTGGGTGACATCTGAGGGCAGAAAGTGCTGTGGGACTTGAATCCAGTGGGAGTATCCCATTCCATCAGCTACTCTCAGCGGCCTGCCGCCTCTCCTGTTATCTTCCAGCCCTGACACCAGGCAGGCAGAGCAAGGACACGGTGTGGGGGTCAAGGTCAATTTCGGGGAGCAGTGGGGAGGAGACTTAGAGGCAAGAGAGCAAGAGCCCCTCCATGGAGCCCAGGAACCATGTCGCTAGGAGGCAACAGCAGGTCTGAGCTGGAGCCGGCAGAAGACAAGAGCCTCAGGGCCCCCCAAGGTCAGACACAGAGTCGCGATGGGGAGCAGCCAAGGGGGGCCTATGATGTTTGGCTGGCCTGGCTCTCGAAGACCCCTGGCTCTGTGCCCCCCCGCCCCCAGGCGCCCCTTCAGCCGGTCTTGTCCTCCAGGAGCCCTGACGCCAGCCCGCATCTGGGCGGGCTCTCCCTCTGCGGTGGGGACCCGCCCCCCAGGCTGCCATATGTCACCGTAGGGCCAGGCTTTCGAACGAGCAGCAGAAGTCCAGGCATTACATACCTGGGCCTGACTCCACTGCTTAGAGCTTGTGTAACTTGGGAAAGTGATGTCCCCTCGCCGTGGCGCTAGGGGGGCTAGAGAGGGATGGCCGCAGGGTGTGAACAGCTTCCTGCGACAGGACCAGACATGCCTCCAGCCCGCTTAGCACAGCACAGCGCTGCGAGGCGCGGGGGTTCCGGCCCATCCCGTGGACGCAGGTGCCTCGGGGAATGTAGAAAACAGCCCCAGGGGTAGCGAGATTCACGGGGATGACTTTTGTGCTGTGCTTACCACAGCAGTCTGGCGTGGAAGGACGGCTCTGGCCCCTGGAGACCGTGCTCGGTGACGAGGCGTGGCCTCCCGATGTGGCCGCACAACGTGGCCGGGCCACGGCAAGTTTGACCCACCTTACCTGCTCTGAGTGTCACAGTTTTGAGGAGATGGTGACTCATTTTCTAACCTGTGTCTACAGGGCTAATTTAGCAGATTAATTTTTCTTGTAATAAGGATTTAAAACTCATTAGCTGTTGTCACTGATGATTTTCCCCTTGTTCTTCAGCTCCATGTTTCAAGGCTGGAGGGGAGGAAAAAAAAAAAAAAGAACTCTTTGATGACAAATCCGTCTCCCCCACCCCTTCTAAAATTTCAAAGTGAACTGTCCCATCTCGTCCTTGGACGGAACCCGGCCTCGCATGTCTGTCTCCCCCCGTGATGATAGTTTTAAGGCGGAGGAGGAAATCTTTGGGAATCAATTAAGCAGACGGATACTTGGCTGGAGAAATAAAACAGCATGCTGGAGGGGGACTTAATTTACCATGCATCACAAAATTTTCTAAGTAAATTATTTTCAAGTCAGCTCGGCCCTTCTCTTAGCCATGACGGGGCCACGTTGGCGTT